GTGGGTCAGGGCGCTGACCTCCTCCCTGTAAGCCGTCTCATTACTGTTGGTGATAAGACCAACAGTAAGCACCTGTATTTGTTAAACATTAACACATCATTATGTTATACTGTCATTTCCTCATTTCATTCCTTCTACAACAGACACAAGTGAGAACAGCACCATAACCACTGTTACTGCATCTCCAACAAAGGTGACATTTTTCAGGGGAAACTGAAGTTTGTGAAGTGCAGCTGCTTAGTCAACAACCTGAACTTCAGTGACTAGTTACTCTGGAAGTTAAAAGATATGCATCTTTTGCCAAATAAAATTCAAACTGGCCCTTTAATACAAAAATATTTTACAAAATACTACAGCAGACGATGACAATATTATAGGAAGCAAATGAACCCTAAGATGCAGGTTGTTTTTCTGAACATATATAAATGTAACTATGCTGTGTATTATGTAAAAATAAAGCAATAAATAAAGGATTTATAGTTTTATTTATTTATTTAGCATGAGCATGATTGGCAGAAAAAAATCACTGGCACACACCAAAACTGGGAATATTTTGGAGGGCCGCACCATTAAACTGAATTTGATTTTTCCTAAACAACTGTGAACAAAATGTGCATTTTCACAACATCACAAATCTTGTCCAGTGCCAAGAGAAAAAAATGAAAACTGTCTGCAACGAAAAGCTCCAGATTTTCCTTGAAATGTCTTTTTATGGTTCACCTGTAGGGGCACACTCTGAAAATCCTTCTTTTTTCTCAGCGCGTATTAAAAAATGCAGAGACCACCAAACACTCCATCATAGAATTGCTTATTGTTTTATGTGATTTTGTGAGAAATCACAAAGCTGGTCTAGGCTGCTCCACCCTGTGATGTTTAAAGGTTGATTAAAGGTCCTTGTTGCTTTTGCATCTTTGCCTGTAAAGCTTCAGACGTCCTTTTCCTTATCTGCATAAATCAAGTTCTTGTATTTTTCTCTGTGTTCTGTATGATTCAAGCTGCAATCTGCTCTCCACAAACCAAACACACTACCTCTGACTTAATACTTAGAATACTATGTCTATTAAAACTCTACATTTTGCATCCATCTTTGTGTGTGTGTGTGTGTGTGTGTGTGTGTGTGTGTGTGTGTGTGTGTGCTGACATGTTTTCTGGTAAGCAAACTCTCATAAGCATGTGTGTGACTGCATTTACGGTGAAGCTGCATTTGCTTGCCCACATGTACATACACAAATGTAAAAATAATAATAACAAAAGTAGTAAAGCTGTATTGTGATTTCCCCACAAAAATTGGTGCCCAGTGATCCCAATGTGAGTTCGTCAATGAGCAAGATTCTGAGGTTGTAAAAAATGCTTTTAATACTGACTAATTAACTATAAAAATGTTTATCAAGCTAATGCACTCGTCTAGTAGTGAGGAAATGTTGGTTAGGACAAGGAAAGATAAGATTGTTTTGCATCCAGGTAAACTCACCGCAGTGAGATGCTGTGCACACACACAGACTGAACAAGACGCTGTAACATTGTTTTGCCACAGACAGAACTTCACCTCATTGCTCAAGAACCTGAAGAGTTTGTCCCAGAACTAAGGGAGCCCTTACAAACTGCTGAGGAGGGGAAGACCGACCCAGCCTCTGGGGATAGCACAGAAGAAGATTTTGAAATAGACAGTCACAGCACAGGGGACCAAACCATGAAGGAGAAGGAGCAATATCCAAGGAGACAAAGAAGGCAGCCCCAAACTTTGACATATTCTTGGTGAGCCAAATCTCACAGAAAGAACCGTTTTCACCAAAGAAGTAGCTGTCAGTGGCTACTGGCAGCCCTGGTAATCAGAGTCAAACCAAACTGAATACCCAGCAGACTTGATAAATTACATGTGCCTTCTTTTGAAGTGCTCATTTATGTCTTTTGCGTTATTTGTAAAGAGAAACACAAAGATTGATGGTGTACCTTTGTATTTGTTTGGTGTTAGAACTGTAATGGAGAAAATGGACATTGAGGCTGTGGACAGCTACAGGTACCTTGGTGTTCATCTGAACAATAGACTGGACTGGACTCATAACTCAGACGCCCTCTACAGGAAAGGGCAGAGCAGGCTGTACCTGCTGCGGAGACTCAGGTCGTTTGGAGTGGAGGGCCCACTCCTGAAGACCTTCTATGACTCTGTTGTGGCTTCTGCTATCTTTTATGGTGTGGTCTGCTGGGGCGGCAGCATCTCTGCTGGGGACAGGAAGAGACTGAACAGGGTGATCCGAAGGGCCAGCTCTGTTCTAGGATGCCCTCTGGACCCAGTGGAGGTGGTGAGTGACAGGAGAACGGCGGCTAAGCTGTCATCCCTGTATGGACAACGTCTCCCACCCCATGCAGCAGACTGTGACAGCACTGAGCAGCTCCTTCAGTGGGAGACTGCGGCACCCACGGTGTGGGACGGAGAGATTTCGCAGGTCTTTCCTCCCCACTGCTGTCAGACTCCATAATAAAGACTTTAACTGATCAAGCACACACATCCATACATATGCAATAATACTAAGTGCAATAATCCTTTCTGTCATCGTTGTATTTTTACTCAGTTGTATATAGTATTTGTATTTGTATTCTATTTTTATCTTATTGTATATTTATTTTATTTTATTCTACTGTATATAGTATTTTATTTTATTCTATTCTGTACAGTTGTGTACTGTATTTATTCTTATTGTATTCTAATTTTTGCCTCATAACTTTTGCACTGTCCACTTCCTGCTGTGACAAAACAAATTTCCCACGTGTGGGACTAATAAAGGTTATCTTATCTTATGACCCGGCCAAGTGTATGGGCACAGGGTGTGAGTGTATATGTTAGCGAAAATGTCTGATAACATCAGAAGCATCGATGACTGCAGTGCACGGTAGTCTGAGTATCTCAGTGAATAGTTAAAACCTAAGTGTGTCTAATGTGTAAGGATATAAGGTATATAAATTAAATACCATGAACAACACACACTGTTGGCTATGAACTGCTAATGCTACACAATCATTTGCAATGCGTTACGGCAAATGTGTGACCTACCTGCCACTGGGACACAAACCTCAACACAAGAGCAGTAAATCAGGGTCAGAATAATGAACAATATCACAAACTGACCACCTCCTAGTACCAATTTTTATAAACTCATATATAAATAAATACATTAATTCAAATATAAATATATAACAGCACATACTTGTGAGTAATTTTATACTTTTTTTTTATTACTCCAGCTCACAGTTTAGGAATCACTGTTCTAAGGACTGCACAGCTTCTGCCACGAGGTGGTACGGAAAGGTCGAGAATTACTTATTAAGTTAAGATGTGTCAGTTACCGGTGTTAATAAATGAGTCCTGAGATAGATTTGATGGTTGGACTTTAATCTTTTGCACATTGCAAAGTTTTATCAGTGGGTATAAAACCAAAGCCTGATTTATACCATCTCACCTTATTTTAGAAATCAAAGGTGTTCAGTAGAAATCACAATTCTGTTTAAGAAGGTTAAAAAAAAATCATTTTGTGATCACATTTATCTTTATTTGTCCTAATATGACTACTTTAATCACTACAGTCAGATGTGGGTATGTGCATTTTATTTGACTTTTTGTGCTATTGTGAATTAACCATAAAATGTAACATTGTTAAACAAGTATGATTTAAACCTTTGCTATTCACAAAGAACAAGAGCAAAAAAAAAAAAAAAAAAAAAAAAATCTTGAAAAAGCAGCAGTTGTCTTGAAAAAACATACATATGTCAGTTTTGGTAATTGCTTCCAATTTTGACTAATTTCTACTGTAGAAACCTCAGTTAAATATCAACCCCCATAACCGGGGTATGGCTCTGTTTCACTGAGGAAAGGGGTATGATACCTCAAAGGAATTTATGACATAAAAGTATCAGACAAAAAAAGTTTTATTTCATCATTGCATTGCATTACAGATTTTTTAACATTAATTTGCACATTCATTGCAGACGTGATAGGTTGATGTAAGAGCTCCATATATATAACTACGGGCTACATGTATGAAGCTTTATATAGAAAAACAAGTAGTAACTTAAAAAATTAAAAACCTATAACAGAGAAAATATTTATTGATGCTAACTCATAATTTTTGATATAAAACATCTTCTTACAAATTATTAGAAATTATATGATATCAAACCAACAAAAATTATAACTGTCCTCCTCCTACAGCAGGTGAAGACTTCATAAACGTGTCGTCGGCAAGGCAAGAAAAGTAGAAATCTGTTTTCAAGTAAACACTGGGTTAGTTTATCAGTTGTATTCCATTAGTGGCCATTAGATGTATGATAGAAGAAAAGAAGAATAATGATTTACACAGATAAAAAAAACTTGGTTTTTCCTTTTTAATAAACATTACCAATACATTTAAAACTAACCTTAAAAGGGAAATCTGATCACTGGGTTTATATGTTACATTTTCTTGTCATAGAAATGGAAACGTCTTCATATGCACTTTGTCCTTGTTCTTAGAAATTTTACATTTGTTACAGTGCATGTAATTATTCATAAATATAATAAAATTGATTCTCTAATTTCTTTATTTTGCTAAAAAAAAATATGCAAAGTGAATTTAGCGTTTAAAAAAAGATACATACCTGTATTTTGTTTCAGCTTAATTTTGTGAAATCTGATCCAAACAACAGAAAAGAAGCATTATTAAAATGTGGTTATGGAATTAGATGTGTGTTATATTTGCGTTCAACAAGGAATCCCTGTGTTTATTTAAAAAAAAGTTTACTTTGTATGACTGACATAAAGAAGCAGTGACATGAAATGTTTGTTTTATCGTTCTTACTAAGCTGAAGCCATAATCTAAACTTTCTCTGATGTTTGCAAGGAAATATTTGCACTTGCTTTTTGTTTATTCTTGTTCATACAGGTTGTATTTTATTTTATGTTCCCTATTAAAAATGTATATTTTTGTTTTTGGCTAATTCTAAATAATAATAATAATAATGATAACAAATATTTGCACTTAATGAGCTTATAAGTGTAACTCACAGCTGATGGAGAGGTTTACTGGATCACTGGTACCAGTACTGACAGGGTTGGACACACGACACCTGAATGGTCCCTGGTCAAAGCGGGTCACATTGATTATAGTCAGACTGGAGCCTCCATCAGTGAGCTGAACTCTGTCACTTGCTGTAACCTCAGAGCTGCCGTTCAACCAGAGGAAAGAGAGAGAGGATCCAGAGGCAGAGCAGGACAGAGAGACAGAAGCACTGAACTCAACCAAGTCTGTGCTGCTGGAAGTTACCAACACATTGGAGACTTTCTCTGTGAAAGAAAAACAAAACAGTTTCATTATTGGCATCAAAAAATAGAAAATAAGCATCGAAACAATTACAAATCAATTCCAGCTAAACCATGTCATGTTAAGGAGGATATATTACACACACAACCTAAAAAGACAGAATAGCAATAACTGAAAGAAATACTGTACCAATCAAAATCTTGAAATATTTTCATTTCTATAAATAAATAAATCAACTCCCTTTAAGTGAATATTCTGAACAGAATAAATGAGACAGTTGAGTTCTCAGCTTGTTCTTTGTTCTATGGGGATCAATATTACCTTCAAATAAACCATTCAGTTTCTTACAGCCACTTTTTAAAGACTTTAATATCACAGTCTTAAGAATAAGACAAAGTATTGCAAGAATGCATTACTGCAGTGAGTAGAGATGTAACAAACATGTACAAATCATTACAGGTATTTTTACATGTTCGATATATTGTAAACTTGCTTAAATATTGCAAAAACACTTAAGCTGTTGAATTTCTACATCTGCTCACCGTATATCACCAGAGTAGTACGTCCATTCTGGGCTTTTCCATCTTGTATAATGTTAACATTGTATTCTCCAGTGTCATCCAGAGTGAGACTCCTGAGCTCCAAAGACGCAGTAGATGGGAAGAAGGTGATCCTGCCTTCATACTCAGGTCTAATAGTTTCTTCTGAGTTAATTATGACTATTATAGGCTTAGATAAATTAAAACTCCAGCTCACAGATTGAAACGGTTTCTCTGATGGAGACAGTGTTGTAGTGAACATCACCGTTTCTCCTACAGCTGCATTCAGAGGACCATCAGGCAACACACCAACTCCTTCAGTGAAACCTGCGGGAGAAGAATAGCAAAGTGTTGTTGTTACTCAAACATATAAAACAGTTGATGAATATATAAAGATTCGCATGAAATATGGCAGGTCTGAAGAGTTTGAGTTATCTTTATTAAAGCCTAATGTCAGCTTTTCCAGATAATACTGCACAAAACTAAGCATTACTAGAGAAGCCCCAAGAGAATTATAAGGACCATGGCACTGCTCTCCTACTCTCATTTAAAACACTTTTGTACAAACCTGCTTCTTCTCTGATCTATGTTATCTGAGCAGGACATTTTTTTTCTGTTTATAATATTAAGGTTACATATGATTAAACATAAACTAGAAATATATTCAACAGATGTCTCATAAAGTGAAAAACAAACAATAAACAAAGTAAAACTTTAAAGTCAGTGTGAGCAGACAGTTTTTTTCTGCCACATCAAGCAGTGAGAGCTCACCTGAGATGGACCCAAAAATGAAGAAGTATATCACAAG